CCCCCTACCTCCCGCCGCCCAGGCCGGCCCCGGGGTCCCACACCGGCCCAAGGATCGCGAGCGGGACCGCCGGGCCCTCGCCCCACTCACGCGCCCGGGACGGCCCTACCGGGGTACCTGGCTTCCCAGCGCGGCCTGGCAGCCTCAGCATCCTCTGCGAGCGCGCAGGAAGTGCACGAGGTCTGGATCGGAACCCGCCGCTGTCCAGGCTCTGCGGGTGATTCCCCGGGATGCGCCTTCAAGATCGAAAAGCACCGCACGAAAATGCGTGGCTTCCCCCACTTCACACCTTCCGCCGGCGTGCTGCAGCCCTCCGAGATTCTCCCTCTTCCTGCCAGCCACCCCAAGCCACACACAGAAGCCTTACTTCTATTTCGGAGAGCTTCCAAAGTGGCACCCTCCCCCCTCGGTGCACAATGAGCAGTGTCAACACCAGGTCTCCTCACCGGACACCGGAGATAACGAAAATCTTTTCCGGCCTCATCCCCGGCCGAACAGTGCTTTGGAAAGCTTATACCAAAGTACTAAAATTGGTGCTTCCTGACCCTATGAAATTGAAAGCCCGCCACAAGTGGGTCTGTTCCTCTCCCAAGTGATTTGGTTCATTTCCTCTAGAATCCCTTTGGTTCCTTCCATTAGAGTGCCCCCCACACACACACACACCCCATCTCTTTTCTGATCTTAATACTGGCCAAATTTGAAAACGAACTGAAGTTCCACCACTTTACTTGCACTCACTGTAACTTCGGGGTGCTTTTATGTTACTTTGTATTACTAAGGATTTTTCACATGTATTCTATCACAATCCATCATAGATCTTCAGATCTTGAAGACATAAATGAGGTGTTTTTGTTTTTGTTTCCCCCCCACCCAAGTGTGAATCCCAGACCAGTAGCAGCCACATCCCCTGGGAATTTGTGAAGTATTGCACATCCCAGCCCTACCCCAGATTAGAAATTTTGGAGGTAGAGCTTAACAATCAGATCTAACCAGCCTTCCAAGGTGACCTAAGGTATACTCAAGTTTTAGCATTTCTGATCTAGACCATTGTATCTTCTAGAAATAGGGATTGATTTGACTATATGCAAATTTGATTCTCTTTTGGGTTAACAAAAAGTTCCCCTATGCATCCTTAGGTAGTTGAAAGGCTAGTCATAATTGCTTTTGGAACAATTAATCTTTGATTTCATAATGTGTTTGGTTTAGTAGGATTTTTTTTGGTAACTTGATTTGTTCAATTAGGCAGAAATAATACAAATAAGAACTACTTTGAACAAAAACAGGTAGACTCTCCTACCCCAACTCCAGCTACCCAACTGGCATTTTGTTTTGCTTTCTTGGAATACCTCTGTGAGGGAATAATTTGTGTCACATGATCCCAACAAATGTCAAACTGGGAGTCAGTTGGGAGGCACATGAATGCACACTATTGGAAGTGTACATTTGTGTGTGTGTGTGTGTGTGTGTGTGTGTATGTATGTCTGCGCGCACACACACACATCAAGTCTAAGACTTGAACTTAGGGCCTGAGCAATGTCCCTGACCTTTTGTACTCAAGGCTAGAGGTCTACCATTCAAGCCACAGCTCTTTGGTGAGGAATTGGGGATAAGAGTCTAACAGACTTTTCTGCTTAGGCTGGTTTGAAACTGCAATCCTCTGTTCTCAGCCTTCGGAAGTGTACATATTTTTGATGCCTATGTTCATGAGTTAAACTTTCTCTTACCAGTCAAGTCAATTCCATAAAGAATTTCTAGGAAAATCACAACAGGAGAAAAGGAAAAGTAGTCTCAAAACCATGAGCTTGTGTAGCATGGGCAAGTACAAAGGCTTTTCTAGCCCTTTTACATCTCATTATACTATTCCTGCTAAGCATTGATTGTATTGATATACTCAGACACCTGTGTCACAATGAGAAAATACAGAAAATACAACAGCAAATAATAGTTTTGAAAAGGAAGCATTTTGTTTTTGTTGTTACTTGTTTTGTGATCAAACACAAGACCTAACACATGCTAGGTAGCTATTCTGCCACTAAGCCACACCCCCAACTGTAAGGCCTTTTCTGTGTAATTAAAGGATAGACCAAAAGATACTACGTCACACACTGTTTTCCCCTCCAGAATTCTAGTCTATTTTCTGGACCTGTGATGGGTTGAAGCATAATTATTAATCAAACTAATTTTATCTGGGAAAAAATAGTAGACAAGGACAGGGGACATTGCTGCTACTGCCAAATTAACTCTTAACAAAGGCACAGTTGAGGCATTTGTGTAGATAAACTCAGCCAAATATCATGCTTCTGGGCTGTGGCTAGTGAGGAATGGATTTTACTGCAATTTCCAAAAGTCAGTGCAGTCCAGAGTTTAATCAGTACTGGCTAATAGCCCTTGGCAGCTCTGGGTGGATGGCATTCTCCACCTGCCCAGCTGGGTACCATACCCTAAGCACCCACATTTGATGCACATTCATGATTTCTTGGTTGCTTATAGTCATCTTCTCCATCTGCTTGAGTGGCAGAGTGCCCATTCCACAATAGTCTAATAATCTAAAAGTTATTTACACCTTTTTGGGGTAACACATCTCTTTGAGCATGTGATGAAAGTTGTGGCTTCTCTCCCAGCAAAGTGCACACAAGACACGTACATAAACATACACACATATATAAAATTCAACACACTGCTTTACCTTCTGACAATTTCAGGAGGATTATAATGAATTCTTGAACCACAGCCCAAGAACTTTCCCTAGAACATAGAGATTAGAGGCAAACTAAACCTTTTTTTCCAAAATAACAAAGAAAACTCTAAATCACCATTCTTTACCTTGAAGATAAAATGGAAGCAAAACTGAAAAGAGTTACAAACCAAAGAGGACAGTATGTCAATGAAGTTGATCAAGAGTGGTGGATTTCACAGAGAAAGGACCTTGCATCTGACAAGAGAGAATAAAATTTGGGTTTGGATTTTGGCTGGGGTGGGGAGGTAGGGGAGATGAGGGGGGATAAAGAGGTCTAGAATTAACCCCAGAGCCTTGTGAATACAAAGCACTACGGTCCATGTGGTACAGGTTAATGTAGAATAGATGGAAAGGTAGAGGGGAATGAAAAGAAACAGTCAAACTACAGTGAGCCTCAGAAGGAAAACTATTTGTAATGAAGAGCCATTAGGGTTTGGATTAGGAGTGATGACCTGCTGTAAGTTGGAAAAGATGACATTTCAAAAGATTTTCATGTCCTGTATTACAACCTGCTATTTGCTTGCTATTTCCTCTACAAGCTTCCATCACAACAAACAAGATGAACTCAATCTTCTTACACTTGCTAAAATGTCAGTGGGGAAATGCATCCTTATGGAAGTTCACGTGTGTTTGGAATCCTGTACATTAAGTGTTAAAACCTGAGAGTGAAAGAATGAAAATCAGCTTGAAATAAAAAGAGAAAAAAAAACAGTCATTAACCAGGCTGGGAAGACAGAACAGCTTTATAGCTGGCTTTAACAGGAAGAACTGCTGCTGTTAAGAAATACTGCTGTAGTTATAAAATGCCATAAGGACTTTCTCTGAATGATTACAGACTTCTTACTGATAATGCTGACTGCTATTATTACTGGTGACACCCAGTTGCTCAGCCATCATCAACTCCTGATAACACCCAATCAATCTTTGGTTAATTCGTTCTTCTCATCCCATCTTAAAACATTGATCCATACTCTCTTCGTCTCAACTCCAAATCCTTCCGGAGCCCACTCTACAAAGGATGCCTTCCTCCTTCCTTTTCTAGGAGTAAGTGCCCACTATCCCTGAAAGGTAATATATCTGATTTCGTCAAGCTTCAGGCTTGTACCTGGTAGACTTTGGCTGATTAAGTCTTAACAGCTGCTTTAACAATGAAAGGTTTCCATTGTCATGTATGAAAGTTAATGTTCTTCAGGAAAAAAAAATTCTTCATCCTGTGTTAAGGACAGAAGAAAATAGCTACCATTCCCATTGATGAGTCTCAACGGTTCACATATGGTCTCTTCCCAAGTGGGAGAGGGGTCATGCTTTGGGCAGATTATCCTGAACCCTTATCCTTTAGAGAAATGTGAGTTAGAGGCTGGGAACGTGGCTCAGTCCTTGCCTTGCATGCATGAAGCCCCAGGTTTGATTCCTCAGCACCACATAAGCAGAAAAAGCCAGAAGTGGTGTTGTGGCTCAAGTGATAGAGTGCTAGCCTTAAGCAGAAGAGCTGAGGGACAGTGTCCAGGTCAAGATCAGGCCCCACAACTGACAAAAAGAAAAAGAAAACCTCTGAGGAGAAATGTGAATTAAAGTAAATGGTTGGGGGGGGGATGTTTTAATGTAGTGCTCAAGATTGTACCCAAGTGCTTTACCACAGAATTTTAATCTCAGTCTTTAATTTCTTTTTTGAGTTCTGCTCAGGCAGACCTTGAACTTAATGTGTAGCTCAAGTTGACCTTGAATTCAAGAGCCTTCTGTGTCCACTTCCCTAATGCTTTCCTACATAAATACCTATGGACTATCTTCTCTTTTTTGGTTGTGTTATTTTAGCCTTTGCTTTCAAAGCAAATGTGAAAGCATTCCAATTGGTTACATTTTGCAAATAGGGACAATAAGAAACAACACACTAACTTTTGGCTATTTATTTTTAGTCTGTTTTCTTTTTCAATATGGACAGCTGCATTAATAGCTTAAGGAGAAAAACTTGTCACATTTTATCCCTTACAAGAAAGGCAAGGAAGATCGTGGATGGCTTCATTGGCACATACTTTCTGCAACAGGAAGGAGTGATTTTATGATATTAAAAAAAAAGAATGTCTAATGTATTGCTTGCAGAGGTTTGGCTATATGGGCAAAGATCATACATTTGTTCTCATCAACCCTATGCAAAAAAGGAAAATGCCAAAGGGGTGCTAGACCTTTTGGATGGGTTCAACAAACACGTTTTCTCAAAAGAATCAAATAGGAGTAGTTTTGAATTTTGTGAGCCAAATAGGCTTTGTTTAAATGATTCAAGTCTATGATTACATTGCAAAATAGTAAAATGTAAATGAGTGTTGATAGCTAAGTAACAGTAAAATTTAATTTCCCACAAAAGTAGCAAGCCTTATTTAGCCCCAATATGTCAGAGTTTTCAAATCTTTGCTTTGTATATGATTGGAAACCTTAATCTCAAAAAAAAGTATATTGAAGCAAAGATGCCTAGATTTGTCCCTGGGCTCTATCATTATTTAATTACCCAAATGTCTCAGTTTTCTTACATATAAAAGGAAGATAGCAA